CCTCCGGGAGCGCTCCAAGGCTGCGCACGAGTGGCTCAGGACGGCCCCAAGACGGCCCAAGAGAACCCCAAGACGACTTCGAGAGGGGTCCCAGAAGGAGAAAGCCACTCTCGAATTCCGAGCTTCCGGCCCAACATATCCCAGGAGGCGCCAAAACGCCGCCCAGGGGCGCCAAAAGGCTTCCAAAATCAGCCCAAGACGTTCCGAGAGGCACCCCAAGAGAGGTCCAAGAAACAAAAATCGTGCCATTCCTATGGGAAAACGTATATTTTTCGCATGTTCGCATCTTGGGCTTTCACCGCGTCCAAGACGGCCCAAGAGGCCTCCAAGACCGCCCCAAGACGGCCCAAGAAGCTTCCAAGAGGGCCCCAGGACAGCCCAAGAGGGCCCCAAGACGGCCCAAGAGGCGCCCAAGATGGCCCAAGAGGGCCCCAAGACGGGCCCAAGAGGGGGCCCAGAGGGGGACCACGAACCGCAAGCTCGAGCCTTCCGCCCCAAGAGGCCGCCAGGAGGCCCCAAGGAGGCCCCTCAAGAGGCCCCAGGAGACCCCCAAGAGGCCCAAAGGAGGCCCCGAGAAGCCCCAAATCGGCCCCCAAAATGCTTCGAACCTGCTTCCAGGAGGCCCCCGACAGGTTCAGAGGCTCCCGAGAAGCTACGTCAAACTCCCAGCGAGCGGCCGGACGAGGCCCCCCACAAAATCACAAGAGGGTTCCAGAATTTGTATCCTTCAGCGCTCTCTGGCCTTCTTCCCCCTGCCCCCTTCCCTGCGACTTTCGTTGACTCAAGCTCGCCTCCTAGCTAGAATCGGATGGGGCCCGTCAGAAGGTGTGGTGTTGGTTTGAGGCGCTTCGGTTTGGATGGGGATTCGCGCAGCTTCTAGGAGTAGCGAGGGGCATCGGCAATTTAGTTGTCGAGGCGGCCTTGCCAGGCCCGTTGCAGTCCTCGCCTCCTGCCGCGCTTTACGCTTTCCTCCAGGTCTTGCAGGTGTGTTTGCTTCCGAGCGTGGTCCACACGGACTAAAAGGGCTTGGTGGGCGGCCTCCACAATGGCCCCCAGTGGTGTTGTTCCCCCCCAGGCGTCTCAATGATGATATCTGAAAGAGCGTGTTCTACCGCTGCTGGCGGAAAACCGGGGGGGGTCACTACCGGTTCGAACCCCTCCCCCCCCCCCCCCCCCCCCACTCCAGAAAACCGGGGGGGGTCACTACCGGTTCGAACCCCTCCCCCCCCCCCCCCCTTGCTCATCATGAAAAGGGGGGGGGGTCACTACCGGTTCGAACCCCCCCCCCCCCCCTCGGAAAACCGGGGGGGGTCACTACCGGTTCCCCCCCCCCTCCCCCCCCTCGAAAACCGAGTGGGGGTGCGGACAGTGGTGGGGACGGTGTTGGTGGGGACAGTGGTGAGGGGACAGCGGGACAGTGGTGGGGACAGTGGGACAGTGGGACAGTGGTGGGGACGGTAGTGGTGGGGACAGTGGTGGGGACAATGGTGGGAACAGGGGGGGACAGTGGACAGTGGTGGTGACGGTGGTGGTGGGGACAGTGGTGTGGGGACAATGGGAATGAGGTGGAAACAGTGGGACAGTGGAGGGTACAATGGTGGTGGGGACAGTGGTGAAGGCGGTGGCGAGGACGGCGGTGGGACAATGGGACAGAGGTACAGTGGGGACAGTGGTGGGGACAGTGGGGACAGTGGTGGGAACAGTGGGACAGCTCAGTGGGACAGCGGAGGAGTCAGTGGGAGTGGGGACAGTGGGGATAGTCGGGCAGTGGTTGGGGCCGTGGAGACAGTGGGGAGAGTGGAACCGTGGTGGGAACAGTTCTGGGGACAGCGGGGACAGTGCGACAGTGGTGGGGCCACTGGTGGGGACAGTAGGGGCGGTGGTGGAACCAGTGGGGACAGCGGTGGTGAGGACAGTGGCGCTGGGAACACCAGTGGGGGATGTGATGCGGACGGTGGTGGGGACCGGGAGTCGTTTGCTGGCGGTGAGTAGGGGGGGGGGGGGGGGGGGGGTTCGAACCGGTAGTGACCCCCCCGGTTTTCGGGGGGGGGGGGGGGGGGGGGGGGTTCGAACGGTAGTGACCCCCCCGGTTTTCGGGGGGGGGGGGGGGGGGGGAGGGGTTAGGGGTTAGGGGAGGGGGGGTTTTGCCGGGGGGAGGGGGGGGGGGGGGGGGGGAGGGGTTCCAGCAGGGGGGGGGGGGATTTTCGGAGGGGGGGGGGGGGGGCGACCCCCGGGTTCCGGAGGAAAAGGTTGGCAATTTTCTACAGTAAAGCGGCGGTGGATCACGCTCTCTCTGATATCTGGGACGCCATTTGGCACAGACTTTGGGACTTGTGAGGAACGATGCTGGCACTGGGTCGTGCATGCCAGGGGCCATCGACGTGGGAGCAACACCAGCGCCGTTGGCAACAGATGGGCTGACCTCGCGGCTCGCAATGGTAGGGACCTCCACTCATTGCAATGGTATGGACCTCCACTCAGTGCCCAAATCGGGTAGGCGTGCCATGCGCGCTGCATGCAGGCAGTATCGAGCGCTGCTTAGCTGGCAATGCAAAGCTGTTTCCACCGTTCAGGGCGGCCAGAGGCTTCAGACGCGTCCGCGTGCGAAGCCCCCTCCCAGGCCTCGCCAGGCCAATGAAGCTGAACTGCCCGAGAGCTCACATGAGCTCAGGCACGTTTTTCGGCTTGTGGCAGGTCGTGCGATTTGGCGCTGTGCAATTTGCAAGCAGGGCCCGAAGCTTGAGAGGACCCGTGATCGCCTCACCCTTCGTGCTTGCCTTGTTCGTGCTCGTGCTGCTGAGGCCTCCTCCAGCGCTGCGCAATCTCCTCCGCTGTGCCGTTGCCTGGTTACGCTGCGGGCGCCCAGGACAGTGGAGGAGGGAACGGTGTGGATGGAAGGGGCCCCTGCCTTGCTGCCTGCGGTGACCACCCTCTTCCTCCTCCGACTTCGTTCGGTCGGTGAGACCTCGCCTTAGGCCTCTCGAGCCCGACGGCCTGGTCGCGCCGTTTTCCCCTGGCCTTCGGAGGTCCAGGAGCCCGGCCAGCGACGTGGTAGCGCGCCAGGTTCGCCCGCGGGTCAGCTTCGAGCCGAGTGTGTCGATCAGAGACGTTGCCTCGACGGGTAGAGATCAAGCAATCGCTGACCTCCATACACCTTAGGCGATGCTTAAGAAAACTTGAATTTTCGGCCAGAGTCTCGATTATTCTTAATGTTTCAATGTAAATCCTAAGATTTGAATGGGAATGTTGGGTTTTTATTCCAGTTCTGAGACTATAAATTTCTTAACCCATGATTTCTTAAGCATTTCGCAGGGTGTATTCCCGACAGGTTTGGGCCCGCGCTTCGGCCCAACAAGAGACGGACGGTTGGTGGCCGGCACAGGGCTCGACCTGCTCCGGCGGCCACGACCGTCCCTCCCTGCGCCTTTTCCGCCGACAGGCCCTGTCCCTGCTGCCGCCGCCATGGGCCACCCCTCCTCCTCCTCCTCCTCCTCCTCCTCCTCCTCCTCCTCCTCCTCCTCCTCCTCCTCCTCCTCCTCCTCCTTCTCCTCCTCCTCCTCCCCCTCTTCCTCCTCCGCCTCCTCCTCCTCCGCCTCCTCCTCCTCCGCCTCCTCCTCCTCCGAGCTGCCAGGCCGCGTTTGTTTGTTTGTGTCTTGCGGTCTCTTTGCCACAGGCACCGCAGGGCACCTGCTCGTTGATTGCCCCTCCCTGGTGGCTAACCACCGATTGTCCGAGAGAGCCTCGCGTAACCGTCGCCAGTGTCTTACAGTTCCTTGCGGGTGTTCATCCTGCGGGCGACGGCATGATGGATTCCAGGCGCATCCCCGCCCCTCGTCCCCTCCATGTGGGGGACCCTGAGACCCCCTGGCTCCTGCAGAGCCAAAGCTGTGTTCAGCAGGACGGCGACGGGGACTGGTGCTGCGAGAGAGGAGCACCCGCTCGGGTCTGCTCCCCGTGGCGCTTCACTTCTTTCCGTGTCCCCGCCCCTCCCCTTCTACATACAGTGCCGGTTTTAATACATGCTCCGCGTGCGGATCATGTATGAAAAATGCAGGGCCTCATTATTAAAACCAATGATGAGTTCATGCATATATATGTATTACTGAATTAGTCATGTCTTAAACATCCTATGGTTTGAAACATCCTATGTATTAAAACCTGCCCTGTAACTTCTGAGCCAGCGCCTGCCCCGCGATCCTCTTGTGGGGGGGGCAGGCGGCCTCTTCAGCGCCCGAAGGGGGGTCGGCCTCCCGACCCCCCCCTGGGCTGCGCTCGCCTGGCGCGGGAGACCTGCGCGGCGCTCGCCAGTGCGGTGCGGCGTCGTCCTCGTCACCTCCTCCTCCCTGCTCCTCCTCGTCACCTTCTCCTCCTCCTCCTCCTCCTCCTCCTCCTCCTCATCCTCCTCCTCCTCCTCCTCCTCCTCCTCCTCCTCATCCTCCTCGTGGCCTCCTCCCCCTCGCCACCTCCTCCCAATCGTGGCCTCCTTCTTCCCCCTCCGCCTCCTGAGCCGCCGAGGCGCCGCCGCCCTGCCTCGCCGCCGCCTTCGAAGTCTCGCTGGGGCCCTCCGGGATCGTCGAGGCGTTTGGGCCAGCAGGCAGCGTGGGGTGAGACCCCCCTCATCGCCACGGCTGGACGCGTCTCGGAGCCTGTTTTTTTCTTCCTATAAAAAACTCGTGCAGGTTCACGTGCATGGACGGGCGGGGGCGGTTGAACTTGAGGCAAGCTGCAAACGGCTTCCACGTGCTGAAACCACGCCAGTCGAAAGGCACTTGCACGCTGGTGCTCGTTTGAAGAGGGGCGGGGGCGAACGCCATGCAAGTAAACGTGCCGGAAACAAGCAGGAGCTCGAGAAGTTCGCCGGTTTCGACCCCAGGAGGGGTCCGAAAACAGATTTTGAGCGGATTTGTCTTTGCCCGCCCCTCTTGACCAAGTCTCTCGGGGCACATGCAGCGCAGATCCATCCCGCCGCTTCCAAGTGTAAGTATACGTTCCCTGCACAGGAGAGGGGTACACGAGCTCCGCGATGTCGCAGGACAGCCGTCGCCGTAGCTGTCTTCCTCGTCGTCGTCGTTCTGGCCTCCGTCGTCGTCTGCGTCCTCGGAGGAGGGGGAGATGAAGAGGGAAGAAGACAAGCTAAGCGCGCTAGCGCCACATCTGACATCCTACCCCTCCCACCCTCCCACCTGTCCTTGCTACGGTATTACTGTATGCTTGTGTGTTGTGGTGACTACTTGAGTGCGTTTAGGCATTATGCTCTTGATGGTCATAACCACGCATAGCATGTTGTTGTGATGTGTATGTGTATCGCTAGTGTATAATAAGTGTCCCTGCTGTTTGATTCGAGTGGCGCTCGGCCCATCGAGCCACACTGCCTGGGTTGTGGACGAGAGGCTTCGTATATGCCTTTTGGGATCTGTCGAGGGCCTTTGTAAGGGTGCCTCTGCAGGGCCTCTTCAGGGCATCTTGGGAGTGGGGGGGGCCTCTTGGGGGCCCCTGGTGGCTTCCTGGGGCACTCTGGGGGGCCTCCTGGCTGCCTCAGATGCCGCTTTGGTGTGGAGGGCCCCACAGTTCAGTCAGAGTTCCCCGCCTTGGGCCCCTCTTGGCGCGGCTGTGGGCCGCCCTTGGGCTTCCAAGAATGGTCCAAGAGGGCTCCAAGAGTCGAAGCAGAAAAAACGCCACAAACATAAACTGTTGGCGCTCCGCGCTGATTTCTTGGGTCCGCGCTGGGCCCCCCTGGCGGCGCCTCCGGCGCCGCCCTCGGCGCGCTCCGCGCGCCAGGGAGGGGGGCCCAGCTCAGATCCAAGAAATCCGCGCGGATCGCCAACAGTTTATGGCTATGGCTTTTTCTTCTTCTAGAGAAGGGCCCCAGGGGCGGGCCCTGCGACCATCTTACAATAACTTGTGTTGTGAGTGCGGATTCCTACTGTAGGTAGCTCTTCGCTCCCTGAGCCTCCGAGAGGGTCGCGCGGGAAGCCCCCCAAGTCGCACCTGAGAGCGCCCAAGAACGCCTGCAAATCTCGGGTTTAGGAAGGCACCAACTGTACACCAACACCGATCCTGGCCAGGATCACCCTGGGCCCAGGATCGGTGTATACGCCCTCCTGCCCTGCGCAAGAAGGCATATACACCGATCCTGGGCCCAAGGTGATCCTGGGCCAGGTTGGTGTATAGTTGGTGCCCTCCGAGGGTTTGGGCTGGTCCACTGCGCGGTCACTCCTCAGCCTGGCCGCGCGTACGGAAGCCGAACGCTGTCAAGGCGTCGCCCAGCGCCAGTCTTGGGTACTGGGGAGGGGCCTAACGAACAGGGGAGACTTGCAGCGGCTCTACCTGGCGGGTACCACAGATCCCTGTATGCAACCTCTCCGCCCCTTCCCTCCCGAAGTGGTCGGCCCAGGACGCTCGCACAGTCTCCGACTGGTTGTGCGCAGTACGGACGGCCGCGTCCCAAGCGCGGGGATGCATCCCACGGCAGGCTGTGGAGGAGAAGGAGGACAACTAGGAGAAGGAGGAGGAGGGCTTTGGCGGTAAGGAGGAGAAGGACGAGGAGGAGACATGGGAGTTGGAAGTGGAGCACAGTGACAAGGGGAATAAGACGGGCGATGATGAGGAGGTATAGGATGAGGAGTTGTGGAGGATGATGGAAAGGTGGTGAAGGAGGAGGAGAAGGAGGAAACGGAGGAAGGCGGCCTTCCTCATCTTCATTCTTATCCTCCTCATCTTCTTCGTCTTCGCCCTGCTTCTTCGCACTGCTCCTGGGGCGCGTTCTGACCAGGATCTCGAGGCGGATCCGGACGTGGCGGCGAAGGCGCCACAGGAGACAGCAACATTGCTCAAGACGTCCAGGTCGGGTGTTGCTACAGTTGACCCTGGCCCACGGTGTCCCCAGGATTCCCAGGGAGGCCCCCACGGCCTCACCCCCCACGAGGCCCAGAGGGCTCCATGGGGCCCAGAATGGCGAGAAAAGCTGCAGACGCATCCGACCAGGAAAATCTTCCCTGAGATCCGACGTTGCGAAGACTGTACCACTTTGTACACAATCACAAATGGAGCCATAGACCCCATGTTTCTGCTGCACGTGTCGAGCCGGACTGATATGTGATGGTCCCGGGGCCCAAAACAAGGCGGATTCCCCAGTAGTGGGAGAATGTGATGCCAGGATCTGAGGGTTTGGGGGCTTCGCGACCCCCCCGACCACCGGAGTCAGCAAGACTGCCCGAGACGTCGAAGCACCTCGAACCGCGCTGCGCCTCGACGACGACGACGACGACGCTGAGGACCTGCGCGCCGTCGGCAGCTTCTGCCTCGGGGCCGTGCTCTGCAGCATCGCCATAAAGCCCCGCGCGGCAGACGCCTGGTCGATGAAGGCGCCGCGTGGGGGAGGACCACTCCGACCCACACATGCTCGTGTCGTCGATTTTTTGTCGCGTCGGCTTGGGTCCAAGCTTTGATCGGGGCAGCCGAGGGACGCTTCGGGGCCGTATTCGGCACAACGGGAGCCGGCCAGGCGCGGGCGGCGGAGCACGCTCAGACCGTGAAGTGCTTGTGCGCGTGTGCTGGATCATCGGCTCACACGGGCAGCAATCTGGGAGCCACTGTCTGGCCGTAAAAGAAACGGCGGGAGATCGTTCTCCGTTTTCGGCCTCTGGGGGCCATCTCCGCGCCTTGGGACCGTCAAATAGTCATTCAGAATGCCAAACCGGCCTTGGGGAAGGGGTCGGGACTTCCGGGGTCTCCGATTCGTGTTTGGGAAGGAGGACCAGTCGAGACAACGGTGGCCCCCCCTCGCGTTCTTCGCTCTTTTGGCGCCTCCTGGAAACTTTTCGTCGCCACGGCTCAGTCCGCGTCGAACAATTGGTCAGGACGGATGGACCCTGGAGTCCAGGGACCGAATCTGAGCGGATTTGGGCCAGGCGGGAGATCCGCCGTTGTCTCAGCTGGCCCTCCTCCGAGCCACGACGGCGACGAGGACTCCTGGGCGCTTGGCTGAACGTGTAGTGTCTGTGCCTGGCCTCGCCTGCGGCGAGCTCGTCGAGCAGTTTGTCAAAAAGATGGGCGCCTGCCGCGGGCTTCTTCAGAGCCTCGCGGACTGCCGACGTCCCCCCCGCCCCCTTCGCTCTTACAGTGGAAGCCCATGCCAAGAAACACCCCGTTGGCCTCCAGGGTGCCCTGGGCTTCTTGGGCTTCGATGGTTCTGCGATGGACAGGCGTGACGCTCCCCCGCCAACAAGCCACGGGCGTCCCAGGGTCGCAGGATCGGGTTTCTTGTGGAATGATGGGCCTGTTTTCCACCACCACCACCATAAGTTGGAGGGGGAGGGGGTCCTCCTTCTCCTCCTCCTCCTCCTACTCCTCCTCTTCCTCGCCCTCCTCCTCCTCTTCCCCCCTTCCAACTTATGGTGGTGGTGGTGGAAAAAGGGTTCATCATGGAAGGTTTCTTGTGGTCGGGCCCCTCCTGTATCCGCAACTGCTGGGTGCTACGTACCTGCCTGGCCTCGACGAAGATGCCCCCGGACGTTTCTGAGCGGTTGCATGAAGTCGGGCCTGGCCCTCCTAGAGGGGGAACCTTCCGAAATAGGCAAAAATAGTATGGGTACGATTTTTCTACAATGTTGGAACATGTGTGAGTATTTTCTAAATGCGTTTTAATGATATTATTCCTCCAAAATCCCCCTGTAGGAGGACATGCCCGACCTAACGGTTACAGCTGCGGCCCAGTCTTCGCGGTGGCCCCGAGGAGCCCAGGCCGCCGGGGACCTCCGACAACCTCTGGCAGGCACGACGGTGGCGTCGCGTGCGAAACACAGCGATCGACGTGCTCTTGTTTTTGTCAGAGGGGGAAAAAAACACACAGACACAAGTACTCGTCGATTCCCCAGAACATGTGGGAAAAAATGGAAAGTGGGGGGGAAGACAGAAACCCCGAAAATATGGAAACATATAAGGGAATCCTGCTATTTGTGTCTATTTATTTGTGTGTCCCAGGGCCCCTTCATTTTCGGGTGGTCCTCTGGCAGGGACCCCCGGGGACCCCACGCAGGGACCTCGACCTCGGGGACCTCTGACAGGGACCTCTCGAGAAACAGTGACTGACGCGGACCTCTGACAGGGACCCCGGGCACCCAGACATCCGGCGCCGCAAGAAAAAACAGAGCGACAGCCTTGCTCTCGTTTGTTGTTGGCCCTCCTGGAGGGCCCTCGCCAGCACGGCTGCATCCACTACGATCTTACGGATCGGCGGACATCGGCAGCCGAGGGTACTTACTCCTACTTACAGGCCCTCCGGCCGAAGCCCTACCCGCCGCCGCGCTGGTCCCGTTTCGATCTTCGTGGCCGGAGCGCTCGTCAAGGGGGGCCGGAGGCTTGGCCTGCAGAGCGACAGCTGGCGGGCGAGCCCAGACCTCCGGCGACGAGCAGCACAAAGCAGCATATGAAGCGGTGTCCCCGGCCCCGGGGATTCCGGAGGCTGGCCCTCGGACCCCGGCACCGCAACAACAGGTGCTTGGGGTGATCTGGGCCTTCTGGATGGGGTCTGATGGGCCTGTTTTCCACCACCTCCATAAGTCGGAGGAGGGAAGGAGGTGGAGGACGAGGAGGGGGAGGACGAGGAGGACGAGGAGGAGATGGAGGAGGAGGAGGAGGACCCTCTCCCCCTCCAACTTATGGTGGTGGTTGTGGTGGAAAACAGGCCCATCAGGGTCGGCGTAGATGGGGTCGGAGGATCGCGTCGCATCGCCGATGCATCGGTGATGCGGCGCGATGCGGAGCCCGATTTCTCCACGCCGGCGTCGCCGATGCATCGCCCACGTCGACGATGCATCGAAGATGCATCGCCGATGCATCGCCGATGTATTGGCGATGCGGCGCGATCTTCCGGACCCCATCTACTCGGACCCCATCTAGGAGGCCTCTAGGTGAGAGCTTGTTTTTTTTGATTCAGGTAGGTTTACTTGCATGGCGTTCGCCCCCCACCCCCCTCCCCCTCGCCGCTTTTCAAACGAACACTAGCGTGCAAGTGCATTTCGACTCTCGTCATGTCCTGGCTCGCTTCAGCTTCAGGCCCTCCCTGTCCATGCAATGAAATTTGCCAGAGTCTAAACAACATTAAGCTCTGATGGGGTTGAGGTTCGTGGCCGCTTATGCTTGTTGAACCCACGAAAACCCAAGTCTGGAAAGGAAGAGGGCGACGACCTGCTTTCTTGTCGTCATCCTCCCTCCTCTTTCTCCGCTCCCTCGACCATGCGCAAAGCTATAGAATTTCTAAAAGCATCCCTCCTCGTAAGGTGGTGTTCTATGGCTTCAAGGTTTGCCCGGATGCACCAGACACCCTAAGGGCTGAGGCACAGGAGATTCGAGCGGTCACGCTTTGCATGTCGTTCCTCGTAAAATTTGCACGCGGGTGGGACCGCGAGAGTCTCCAGGTTCGGTGCGCGCAGAAGAATTGAACCCATGCTGGGCGTACAGGACATAGTAGAATCATCGAGCTCATTGGCAGGTCTTTAGCACTACAGTCTTCGTGGTCAAAGCGGTGTCGAAGTACAGAAAATCCCTCCTCCATCCCCCGTCCGTGTAGTCAACGCGCCTTGTAAGGACGCGCGCCTTCATTCAGTGTACCCTTGTGTCCTTGCCTCTGCGTCCCGTCCTTTGCCGTTTGCACTGGTCGCCCGCCGCCCAGAAAATCCCAACTTCGGCCTCCAAGGGTCCTGCGCCCTTACCACCCGTCCTTAAGACACGTTTTGATTCGAGGGTTCTTGCTGGGTTTCGAGGGTTCTGCTGTGAAAATCGGGACGCTCCGACACCGAAAAGCAGTGGGGAAGTCCTGGGGTCTCAGGATCGGGTTCCTTGTGAAAGGGCTCTTGTGGTCGAGCTCCTCCTGTATGTTACTTCCCAGGCTCCCGACGTCGTGATTTGTTCACAACGTCGACCCCTAGAGGTCTGAACCCCTCTCCCGGGACCGGCTTTTCATCCTGAGTCGTTTTTTGACGGTCCCGAGGTCCAGGAAGGGCCCCCGGAGGCCGAAAATAGCGAACATTTCCGAACGTGATTCTTGCACAATGCGAGCGGATTTGGGCCCCTATTGCAATCCCTCTTCCATGCTCCGTCCGCAGCCATTCTGGGTCCGAGACGTTTTTAACCCGCCGGCCCTCGCTCGGGCCGCAAAGGAGTAAAGAAGAAGAAGCGCCATAAACAGGAGCTTCTGGCGCTCCGCGCGGATTTGGGGGATCCGCGCTGGGCCCCCCGGCGGCGGGGAGGGGGGCCCGGCGCGGATCCAAGAGATCCGCTCGGACCTCCAAAAGTTTATGTCTGTGCCGTTTTTCTTCCTCTGCAAGATCGAGACATCATGGCGCTCTCGCTCGCCTTCGTCGCGCCAGGCGCGCCGACGGCCGGCCCCGGCCATCCTGCGCTCCGCGCGGCCCTGGCGCCGGAGCTCGCACAGAGCAGCAAAGCGCAGAAGCAGATCCTGAAGGGCTTGACGATTTTTCGCCAATCGACCTGCGGGTATCGAGCCAGAGAAGTCCAGAGAAATGCAGATACATCTGGGTAAATCGTGGCACATCCAAGCGAAGCCAGACATCTCAGGACAATTTTGGAGCAAGTCGTGGCCGGTCCAGCGCTGGACGGCAGAAGTCATTAAGCATTTCACGAGCCGAGTGGTCGGATCTCAAATTGCAATTTGCTTTGGATTCTCTGATCCCAATCTTCTACTTTGGGTGCCTCCCTGTTTCAAGGACCGAGTGGTGTCACCTTTTCCTTCCTCTTCAGGGGGCGGGCGCAAGCCCAATCTACTTCCAAAGTCTGCCTACTTCATGGTTTTACCCACTTCCGACCGACGGGTAAGAGTGACCCTTCGCCGGAGTGACCTTTGGTGCTGGCCCACTGGGTTCCCCCGATCGGTGCATGCGGCGCGAGCAGCGGACTGCGCGTCAGGGTTTCCCTCTTCTCGTGCCCCCCCTCAGCCTCCGCGCACCAGAGGACACTCTGACTCTACACCCTGGGCCCTCCATTGGGGGCCTGGGGGTGCAGGTCTCGGCCTTCTTATTTCCCCTCGTGCATGGTATTACCTTCACTCGAACTATGTTCCTTTTACCCGTGTCGTCTCGATCCTTGTACAGCCTACGAACTTCATTGCTGCCCAGGGCCACTCCTGAGTGTAGGCGACGTCAACTCTGGGAGCTCCGCGCGGCCTGCTCGGATCTGCGCGGGCGCCCTGCGGCGACGCCTCTGGCGCCACCCCTGGCGCGTGGAGTCCAACGCCGACCCAAGAAGTCCGAGCGAATCTCCGAAGGTTAATTAACGGGCGGAGAGTTGTATAAAATGAATGGTTCCGCGATCGGGGGTGCTTGTTGAGTCCGACGCCGATCCAAGA